GAACCATTAATAACAACTCTCTGAGTACGGTTATCCAGCCAGTTATGCACCCACCTTATAGTAGCCCCATCTAAATTGTATTTGCCTAGTTTATCGATAAGAATATCATGCAAGACCGTTTGAAAATTGACCAGTTCGAAATATTTGCATTCGTTTCTGTTAGCTTAATGACACTATGTATTATTTCAAGACATAAAACTGGATTTCTTTGTGGCTTCAAAGCATCACAACAACAGTTTAAAGAGTAAAACAAAATCTAATAATAAATTTGTACAGATACAATTTGACATTTCTAGTTATCATTATCATCATGATCTCTTTCAAGAGTATGTGAGTTACCACAGTTTTATTGCCTTGGCAAGTACACAGTTCTGTGCAAGAAAGATTTTCTGACTACAGACACAGATGATTGTGCACCAAACCCTACTGGTACAGGCACAGATAAGGTCTTTTAGAAGCTCAGGTGCCTTTGGGCCCATGAAGAATACAGAAAGTAGTTAATCATCCACATTTTTCCATCCATGTTGCAATGATGATCCAATGTCTCGTTTACCTATGTGTGAAGATATCCAAATCTTTGTTTTGTGAAGATGCTCCTTTGAGATGCTCTTCAAAACTGTCCTCAAATGGTGAGGAGTTTGGCCTGTGACTTGTCCTTTTTTGATGGCTAGATTCAGATCTCTGTGAGTCTCCTCCTGTCCTTTCTCACTCTGATCATACAGCACTGCTACCAACTTCTCTAATGAAGAAATTGTCTGTCACTCTCTCCCTATTTGGCAAGATCTCTGAAGAAGTCCGCTTCCTTCGTTTTGACAACATTAAACACAGATTTTTTTTCCTCCCTATACCAGTTAGGGATGACACAGTCACCTCCTGTTAATGCATGTAAAGCAGGAAGTATGTTGCAGAAGTCAGGAGTGTGTGCATCACAAATTGCATGTGCAGATATAAAGTTACACTTGTCTGATGTGCTGGTAATGGTGCCTGTTTCAATCCACATGTTATCCATGTGTTCCATTTTTGGAAAGTAGTGAACAGAAAGGTCCAAAACATCTGTATCAGGTGACATAATTACTAAGAGATCCAAAAGCTGTACTGGCACATACACATGAAGAGTGTCCTTGTGTCCACCTCCTCTTGAGTACTGTGCAAACTTGGGCTTCTTCGATACTTCTACTTTGCTACTTCACTATTGGAAAAGCCTCCAGCAAGAAGGAGTGTTTGTGTTGTATGTGTCTCTACACTCTCAGCTGCATTTTGAACCATATATTCACAGAGGAATTTTACAAGTGACTGCTTGTTGGATGCCATGTTTAGAAACTTTTTCCATGGATGTACAGGACATCCACCAATCACCTGATATTTCTTGCAGCCAACCTTAGATCCTGTCTGATGCTGTTTTTTCTGCATTTTTCACAGGGTTACTGTTGTCATATTGGTCAGACTTTGATTGCAGAACTGGCTTTGTCAAATTCTTTTAGGATCTGCCTCAAGTACTCAGCCAGTTCATCACATGTGTGGATCTTGTCTCCAGCCATCACTTGTATGACAGCCATAGCATTTTTGATGTATACTGTAGTTTCTCTGTTGCATGATCTTAAGTCATGCATTCTTTCAGCCTGAGCTTTCAGCTGATGTCCTAATTCAGTTTTGTATGTTTTTCTCAGTGGTCCATCAGCATGCAAGAGGGACGTAGGCACAGGTCCTATTGAGTGACTAAGAACAGTTGCCATTGAAATATCATCTCTGCATCTTGCTAAGGACAGGGATCTTCAGAAAACAATTTCTGGACTGATAGCTGCTGTGAATGTCCTTCCCTTGCCAGACTTAAATTTGGTTTTTTTTGGTCATGTCAGAAAATGTTTTGATACCAGATCAAGTGCCTCTCTTACAAATCTCTCCATTTGTTCTTCACCAACATCTTCTGTTTTCAGTAGAGTCTTATACATCTGATGTTACATATACTCCACTAGATATGTTGATAAGGACCTTTGGATGTGATTCAGGGTCAAATGGGTTTGTCATATTGTTGTGGATATAGTGGAGTGATGGGGCTCCTGCCCCGCACTGGCCCTGAGAGGGTTAAAACCAGCCTAGGGAGGCTGAGTGCAAGGCAGCCAAAGGAGTGGCTGCAGGGGAAACAGCCAATTAGGGTGGTGGCTGCGGACAATTAGGGCGATGGCTGGACCAGCCAATCAGGGAGCAGCTGGCCCAAATAAAAGGAACCTGCAGACCAGACTGAAGGAGTCTGCTGCAGGGAGCCCTAGGGAGACAACTGGCTTCCTAGAGGCAGGGCCGGCTTTAGGCCGATTCCCCAGATTCCCCGGAATCAGCCCCGTGCCTAAGAGGATCCCACGCCTTAGGCGCCTTTTTAATTTTTTTTACTCACTCGGCGGCTGTCTGGGTCTTCGGCAGCACTTCGGCGGCAGGGGGTCCTTCACTCGCTCCAGGTCTTCGGCGGCATTTCGGCGGCGGGGGGTCCTTCACTCGCTCCAGGTCTTCGGCGGCCCTTCACTCGCTCCGGGACTTCGGCAGCGGGGGGCCCTTCACTCGCTCCGGGTCTTTGGCGGCGGGGGGTCCTTCAGTGCCACGGAAGACCCGGAGCGAGTGAAGGACCCCCCGCCGCCGAAGTGCTGCTGAAGACCCGGACTGCCGCCGGGTATTTGAATCGGGCCCCGCAGTTCCTAAAGCTGGCCCTGCCTAGAGGCTGCCAGGACTTAAAGGCTTGAGGCCCTGGGAAGAGGGCAAAGGAACTGGAGCCAGAGGCAAGAGCAGAAGGAACTGAGCCTGCGGGGAAGTGGCCCAGGGAATAGAGACAGTGAGCTGGAAGGAGGAGGCAGCAGGAAACTGCTGTTTGCAGGGTCCCTGGACCCAGGGCCCGGAGTAGTGGGTGGGCCTGGATCCCTCCACCCCACTAGCCGCTGAAGGAGCAGCCCGGCTGTGAACTGCCAAACTGCTGCGAGGAGCAGCTGGACTCTTATTGGAGGAGTCTCCCGGAATGGGGAGAAACCAGATGGTGACATGGCCGGAAGGCTCTGCCACGAAGCAGACAGTGAGAGAAAGGAGCCGTAACGGGTCTGCAGGCGGAGGCGAGGACAGGAGAGCCACCACCACCTGAGGATGCTCCTGCTGGGACTGAGCTAATTCCTGAAATGTCCAGCAGGAGGTGCCAGTGTGGTGAGCGACCCCGTGACAGGTGGTAAAGCTGTAACTTGCTCTTCACCCCCCTCTTCAGTGCAGAGCAAGGACTTGTTTGTGGATTTTGTTTTTCACTACTTTTGTTATATCACTTCTTTCTGTCATAGTTTTTGCATATTCATAATATGAAGCTATGTATTGTCATCTCTAATACTGACCTATGCATAAGTCAATTAAAAGGCTAGTTTCTGGAATATTTCAAAGGCTAGTACTACATACATAGACAATTACAAATGAAAGCCTTCTATCAGGCAGACTAGAAGCTACACTGTATGTACAAAAGCTTACTAATGGCGAAGCATTGGGAATTCTCGTACATTTATATCTATCCACTCTGCAGTACAGGCTATGGGCACACAGCCTACTGATACTGGTACACAACCTTCAATGTGAGAATGACCTGGTCAGCAAATTTTAATCAAAAATACTGTATAGAAACTTTATAATCTGCAGTGAGATGTTTTCACATCACATATTCTTAATTGTCGAAGTATTTCATGTTAGCAAATTGCAAAGTGTTGATTTTCACCATTTTTGCCACGTGCTAAACAGCTTCATCACTTCTGGGGGAAAAAAAAACTTGCCCATGCAAAACCAATAAAAGTCTTTTATTAAATTTTCATTTGGTAGGTTTGACCAATAAACACCACAGTAAGGTGTTGAAATTAACTTAAACAGTAGCCATGTTGCAGTGTTTCTGGAACAGTGCAAAAAAAAATGACCCTTTCTCATTCTGGGTACCATTGTTTCACCCGGCCTGCAGGCTTACGGCACCACTTGACAGCTTCACATCATACCTCATCTAAATGTATTGTGGCAAAATCAGACCAGACACCTATAAAAGAGTGGTGGAAGGCAGATATATCAGCCCTAGAATGGTAAAGGCCCTGTGAACTGAAAAGAAGGTCTCAGGTTAGCTAGAGATGCCTGAACCAATTAAGGGCCTCTGGTGATCCTTAAAAAAACCCTCTTCTGGTGTGAGGGAGGGATGAGAAACAAGTTGCAGGAGGACTAGTGCCAGCAGGGAGGCAAGGCTTCTGCTGGGTGGAAGACTGCCCTCCTCCCCATAGGGGAAAAACCCAGGTTAACTTCTGTTTGGGGAAGAACTACTAACAAGAAGTCAGCGTAGTGAGGCAAGGCCACGGAGAGGGGGCAGGGAAAGGTATTTCTTTTTGCATTGTGAATTTGGTTTTTTGTTTTGCTCAAAAGAGCTCCTCTGGCCTACTCTGAGGCCCACCTTGTAAATATTGAAAAATAGACCAAAGTGAGGAATTTAAAAAACTGCCAGAGTGGGACTGATTTACACCAGCCAGAGGGAGAAACACCAAACCAGCTGAGGTGAAAAGTGTCTTGCCATAGTACATAAAATAAGTTTTCAAATGATGTATAATGTGGGGGTGTTTAGGGTAGACACATTAAAATCCAAAAATATGGCCCTTTTTGGAGAATTGCCGCATGGCTAACAGGCCGCCTCTGCCTGCAACTATCCTTCTTTTGCCTCCATCTGCCTGACAAGTTGGCTTCTAGCTCCCCCTAGTGGATCAATATGACTGGAAAAACCCAATTGAAAACACTTCAGTGAGTCTTGCAAAGTCAAACCAGAAGGAAACACTAAACGGATGAAATAAGAATAATCTATGTGCTGATTTTAGGGAAAAGCTTATTCCTTGAAAAGTCATCATCTTAAGTCTCCTATTTTCAAAAGTGAAGCTTTGAAAAGTAATTGAAGTTGTAAAACCTAATTATAGAATGAACTAATTTTAACTGATGCCTAATTGTGTGGTTTCTTATGTGTTCCATAGACTTGCAAAGCCTTCCTTCCAGCTATGATTGCCTGTAACCGTGGACACTTGGTTAGTATCTCAAGTGGAACTGGACTTATTGGTGCCAATAAACTGACAGGTTAGTGTGCTATAGAGCTATTCTGAATTAATTTAAATGTACACTCAGAGTTAACCATTTTACTTCTGAAATCTCATCCAGCTTTTTAAAGGAAAGTTGTCTTAATCTCTTATGCAAAGATAGTATAAACTCATGAAAAGCCTGCAAGTAGTTGTAAAAAATTATGAGCAGATTGAAGGAGAGAACTATGATGATTATACCTGTTTAGCATAACCAAGCCTCCTGCAGGCTTCAAGGACTGGAAAGAGCAATACGCACCATCGCAAGCCAATAATTCAATTATTACAGGGGACACAGCGGTGATCTCTGTGGGAACACTGCCTAATATTTCCCATTATCATTTTTCTGACTTTTTGAAAAGAGCTCTTTTGCCTCCATGGTTTGCAACTAGAACTTTATATTTAGTAGGGGGATGTTCCTGGTGTCATAGAGGTGCCTTTTATGATCCCCATGAAAATCCATTCTGATTCAATGAGTTATAAGCTGTTAAAATGCTCCATTTTCCTTTTGTGTTTTTCTCAGTAGAGCTTGCTATTAAAATTCCTGAACAGACCATCTGCATGTTATATGCTTCCCAACCTCTCACTTCTGCATTCCACACAGACAAAATGGATCATTCAGCTCCGCGTATTCCTCTCAAAATACCATTGCGCTAACAACCAGGCAATTAGGAGCATGTCTTGCTTCTTCTATTGATTGATGTTAATAATTCTGTGTTCTTCCCAACTTCTGTTAGGCAAGACCACATACTCCATTGAGAATCTGAGAATGCAATCATGTCTTTAACATGACCGACCTAACTCTCAGCCACTTAATTACACTTCCTGTCAGCATATCTGAGTAGTTAGATTTGGCAGAATCTTTCTGCCTATAAAAAGGGACTACTCATGCACATGTAACACACTGTTTCAAAAAATAAGACTACACGTGCTATCATTTATTGAAGTTAGTCTTCTAGCACAAGTGGAGGGAAAGGAATATTACACTTGTGTATAATATAATTTTTCTCCTTTTTATTCTTTAAAAAACTTTATTAAAAGAATGTTGTTAAAGTTGCAAAGACAAACACCAAAAGTTAGGAATAACCTGTATTAAGGATGTTTGTGGAACTTTAATAACATCCACATTGCAAGCCTGGGCAATGGAAGGATAATGGAGTTGCCGTTGGTAATGGAGGAAGATGACATGGGGAGGGATGAGAATTTCAGTTTTGGAAAGATCAAGTTTGACATGCAGAAGGACATCCAAGAGGAGATGTCTAAGATGACTAGAGCCACAAGGCTGGACAAGAGATAGATAGTTAGATTTGAGAGTTCTTGCTACCAGAGGATAATGATAATGGGAGTCTTGGGAGCAGATGAGTTTGCTGAGGATATATCCAGGGAAGAGAAGGGAATTGGACATGAAAGAATTGGGGATTAAGAGACGCCAAAGGAGATTCTGAGGGAGTAATGGGTGAGGTAGGGGAAGAATACAATAATGAGAATCTGGAAGAGAAAAAGTGTGGTTTGTTGGATGAAGGGTCTGAAGGGAATCATCTGTGTTAAAGGCAGCATTGAGGAGGTAGTGCCCTTAGAGTTTAGCAAAGGAAATAGTTTCTGTTCCAGTGTAAGCTTCTTGGGGTAGTTCTGGATCCAGGTGTTCTGAAACTAATAGGATGTTTGGTCTGTTATTTGCATGTAAATATCCAGGATGCTCTTTCCACGCATACCAATGCTGTACTTGAGCTCCAGTAACAAACTGAAATGTTTCAAGCAACAGAGGGTCCTGTGGCAGTTTTGAGACTAACAGAAGTATTGGGAGCATAAGCTTTCGTGGGTAAGAACCTCACTTCTTCAGATGGAG